TAAAAGTCTGGTGACATGCAGCTGTATTTGTTATATGAGTTAAATAAAAATTGCCTTCCTTGCATAGCGTGGATAATCCCAGTTTAAGATAATTTCTCGCCTCTCCTTCACTGAGATGGGTACATTTACCAACCAGCAGAGAGTCAGACACACTCTGCAGCCAACGTTGGTTAATTAATTTAATTCTTTAGCATTGACCCTCTCCCTCATGAACTCCATCCACGCTCAAGTAGAAAGTCATATCGAGTCATAGTTAATCTTGCTCTCCATTCTGCCTCGCTCGTTCACCCTCCACTTTCACTCTTAGTCTCTGCTGACAATCTCAGTTAGTTTCATAATATTAGAAAGTTAGAAGTTCAACAAAGTAGAATTGAAATCCATCCAGTCATCAATTTCCACCACTGTAGTGTGAGCCCTGCTCACTCCAGTTCTGGCCTGAAGAGAAAGTTCACAAGAGCAGATAAAGACTGAAACAAGCATTGCTTCCTCTTGTACCCATATGCATCTTTCTTTTTATAAATGTCTGACGCTGAATTGTCTGGGCTCCGTATTAGTCCTTACATTTGTTCCTGGGTGATGTGTGTTTGTGCTCTCCCAATTGTTTTTCACTGATGCCTTGATGAAAACTGCTGTAAATTGTGTCTGATGTATAGACAGAATGTGCTAATGGATCCGAGGTAATATTAGAGCAGAAATGAGAGAGTGGGAGTAGGAAGTAGCATTTTGGGACTTGTAGAGATGATTCATTCCAGGCCCACATTATTAGTGCCACACATTCAGCCTTTGCTTTGATAGACATTTACTCCCTTATGTTTATAGTGAGAATGATTAGCACACTCCAACTTATCTGAGCAGAACACGATTCTCGCACAATGCCGCAATGCAATCAATCTTCCCTTCCCTCTGTTCGAGAGCGAACTGCTTAGATATTGCTATAAAATTGTAGAACAGTGCGAAATTCACTGGAGATGCAACGCTGGACACGGATTATTTCTCTCAAGACCATATTATATTGGCTTTCTAAAAATCTGCCACAAAAAGGTAGAATAACTATCACCCCAGTACTTTTCATGTGAGTTAATGAGAACAATTTTTTTTAAAAGGGAACATTTGCTCTGGAACCAATTCATTTCCCAGTCGCTGAGCAATGTTTGCTGAACAACGTTTGCTGAACAGGACAGGCTGGAGCAAAGGTGATTCTCTTTGGCACAGTTCGGTCCCAGTGTGAGGCTTTTGTTGCATTATTAAATCTGATTGAGTTTGATTTTAATGGCAATTCTCCTCACAGAGGGTGCTTTGCTTTTATACAACACTGATGTCAGGCTTGGATTAACATTCACAGCATATGAATGAGAACGTGTTGCAATTGACAAGGTGTAAATGAAGAACAATTGTAAAAATAAACTTGTTAAAAGAAAAGGTTGGTGTTATTACCCTCCGAGAAGAAGGTGGGAAAGTGAGGAGTATTTTGATTGGCAAAGTCCTCTCGTTTTATTATCACAAACAAGTCAATCTCAGGTTCGGTGACTTTCTTTATCCTTCACTTAAACCACTTATGTCTGCTTATTATCTTCTCTCACAACATCCACCTCAGTGCCATATTTAGTGGATGTTAAAGTGGTAGAAATTTAACCGAGAAAGGAGGACGCAGAAGGGAGGATGTGAGTGCTGGGATTACAAACCGCTGACTTTTGAAAGCTTCAGTTAGTAGATACAGAGGTTGCCCAAAAGCTTAAGACAATGATAGAACTTCTGCTATCCAAGGGAATCACAGTTAGCACCACACTTTAGTAACGGCCTAGAAAACTGACAGTCTCCATTCAGTGGGGGAAATTCAACAAAAATATTTGTTGCTACAGATAGTCCTTCCAAATGATTTGAAATTCATTACTTGAGCAGCACCCTTGCACTTAGCCAGATGTAAGCAGCGAAAAATTGTCAGAAGCGGTTTCCGATAATGAACCAGAAATCAACTCGACTTGCTCCAGTCTGAATATTTCATGAAAAGAAAATGAATTAAAGATATCAAGGTCACTCTGTACCCACCTCATCCATCATCAAATGGAGCCGGCAGAAAGGTCAAAGCACATTCTTCAAAGAGCACAAGAAAAAACAAAAGCAACGTCCTGACGGTATTATGAGTGTTTGTTCAACTTGCATTTGATACAGTGCCTTATCACGTTGACTCGTCTCAAAGCCTGTGAGTTACTTTTAAGTCCAAGGACTATTCTTATGTAGATAAACACAGAAAGGCCCTGACTTCTGCCCTGGAGAGAATGAAGAACTCCTGGGACCAGGGAAGATTCAACAGTTGCATTTCCATTCAGCAAATCCCGCAAATGAGAGCACGACTAATGCAATTAAATAAAATTAATAATAAATAGTTCTATATTACAGACCTGTTACAAATTGGAAGGAGGGAAACTTAGTACAAGAAACAAAGCAGAGTACAGTAAAGATACAACAAACTAAGCTTGATAATAACAGTGCATAAATAAATCTAGCATCAGATTCTTCTCAGCTGGATGTGATCTTGTGATATTTGGTCAAATGCAACAGAAACTGCTGGAATAAAGACTCGTTTTCTGCTGTGCTGAGAGAGTCGCTGCTCTCTACATGGTTTTTCACACATGCTGTCCACAAGCTAATATCATCTGGAAAGTTTTTTTTACAGAGCTTTATCAGAAGCTTGGGCACGTAGTCCTTTTAAGAGCTCGACAGTCAGGTGTAAAATCAATTCTACAATGCACCGTGCAACATAATACATCAAGTAAAAATTCACTGCAGTTCCATTTGCAATCATCAGCAGCAACCTATTCCATCTGAAATGTAATGGCTTTGATAAGCAGGTGGTCCCAAAGCCAGGGCTTAGCTGCAATTTTTTTTCAGTGTGTTTCTCATACTTTTTCCACACATCACATAAGCACCTCCAACTACTACTATTATTCTCACGTCGTCATAACAGATTTGTTTTTGTGGAACCACAAGAGCAGGCAATGAACTGATTTGTTGCTGTTCTGTAGAAAACAGTCATTTGGTACAACTGTGAGGTGCAATTTGTTTTTTGGTTGACCAGATTTCTGACACGCAAGGAAAAAACATCACCATACTTAAGAGTATCCAAACAAGTCTATTGCAATTTGTCTGGACAAGCCAATAGGAATTAAATTGAAATTAATTTCCCTATTTAAGCTTTGCAAAGACTGAAATTCAAATCGCCGAAACGTGACTGAAATGTCCTGTGTTTTCCACTGTTCCTATATTCTTGTTTAACTGCTTTTGAGTTTGTCAGTCATAATTTTAAATCTTATTCCACAGACCTCATGGTCGAAGAATCATTAAGCCATGTTCAAAGGAACATTTTGGTTGCAGATATATATATATTAATTTAATAATAAAATAATAATCTTTACATTTGATATAATAATAAATAATAATCCTTGCATTTGACGCTTTGCAAGCAAGAGACCTGAGTTTAATATAATAATCCCTCCAAAAAAAAAAAAAAATACAATAATTAATAATCCTTTACAGTATATTCTGTGAAGCGCTTTGATATAGCGCTTTTCACATCTTCTAGACGTCTCAAAGCGGTTTACAGAATATATTGTAAAGTGAATTGACCGTATATTTGTGGGCAAAACGCGGCAGCCAATTGCATACAATTGGGAGAATGCTTATATAGTGACATAGTGCCTTTCAATTCGGGAGAATGTTGCAAAGTGGTTCACAGGAAATGCTGTGAAGTGTATTTTTGACTGTGTATTTTGTAGGCGATAATATCCCACAGTATCCCACAAACAGACATGAAGTGAATAGTCAATTTTATTTGGATGATTCCTGGCCAGGACACTGGGAGAAACTCCCTTCTCTTTTCAAAAAGTGCGAATTAAGGGCAAATTACACCCTCCCTCAGTGGCTTCTATTCAAGAGAACAAAAACACAGTTATATTTGTTAAGAGTCTGTCCGACTCTCTGCTGCTCTTTTCCCACTTCTCTCTAGCTGGGCTGGAACCTCAGTGTCCAGCGAAGTTCTAGGGAATGTCCAGGAGAACACAACAGGACACAGGACACGATTTGCTGCTCCAACCTCACATTGAAAGGACACTCCTCTTGCTCTGGGCAAGTGGCTGAATATTATAATTAGCAATTAGGCTATTTCATTGATATACCCTGGGAACAAAATTGAGGAGTTAGTGACTTTTTCCCCAATAAAGTTAATCAAATGATATTAAGCTTCTCAGTGTAAGCTGGTACAAGAGACAATGATATTCCAAACCTATTGATTGGGTCCTTACAGTATACAGCAACTCATAGGCATTGGGTATACATATGTATATATATATCTCTATATATACACACACATCTATCTACTTACAGGCTTGGGTAGTTATAATAATAATCCTTGCATTTGATATAGAACCTTATCACATCTTTTTTTTGACAGATTACCCGCGGAAAAATGATCCGCCAATCAACTAACAACTGGGTTCCTACTTAATGCTAAAGAGGTAATATAATAATAATAATAATCCTTGCATTTTGATATAGTGCTTTTCACGTCGGGAGGACGTCCCAAAGCGCTTCACAGAACACACTGTAAAGTGAATTGACTGTATATTTGTGGGCGAACGCGGCAGCCAATTGCGCACAGCAATGTCCCACAAACAGTCATGGATTGAAAATGACCAATTTATTATTGTTTTTGGTTTTGGAGGGATTATTATTAGGCGTGTGGAGTAAGGAAACTTGCCCAAGGTTTCGCCCTGGAATTGAACTCGGGTCTCTTGCTTGCAAAGCGAGTGCTCTAACCACTGAGCTACAGGACTCCACATAATGGTAATGGTAAAGAGGTGTGAGGAGTAAGGAAACTTGCCCAACATTTTGCCCTTGCCCGTGAATCGAACCCAGATCCTCTTGCTTGTGAGGCGAGTGCTCTAACCACTGAGTTACAGGACTCCAATTACATTATACAACTACTCACAGACTTGGGTACTTACAGTATACATCTACTCGGATTGACTTGATTGCGGGCGTGCTCAAGCCGTTGTCAGCTTTGCAGTAGTATCGACCTCCCTGGTGGCGCCTGATCCGTACGATTCTCAGGGTCTCGTTGAAGACACTGTTGTCGTGGAACCTGTCAGAGGCACTTCCTGCTGTTTTGGTCCATCTGATCTGAGCAAGCATCATTAGAGACGGTTATTTCAGGCTGTGCTGAGAATGAAATCCATAGAAAATACAGAACTAATGATTAATTACAGAAAAATCAGCTAGCATTGACTCTGGTCCTTGGTGACTTATTACAATGATCGATAGCCAGGTTCGTGTATTTTGATTTACTGGAGGGGGAATATATTATGGGACAACTGTTAAAGATGCATTCAAACCTTTCAATAATAAGAGTAATTGTCTTATTATTGTTTAATTGTACAATTATTGTGTAATTGTTTAATAAGAATAATCGTCGCAGTCAGACCTAAGGTGGGCTCTACTCTGAACAGCAGCCGCTTTTAGAAACAATTCAGCAATGCTCAAACGTTACGTTTGTTCTGAACAAATAAATGTTTCCCAATCATCATTCGTGAAAGTCTACAGGATCATTTCATCCACTCAATGAAATAGCTGAGTGACCTTCAGGCATTTTTATGTCCAGGGCGTTGTCAGAACACTCACTCGATGTCATCAACAAAATATTTGGAAGGCGACGCTTATGTTAACTTGAAAAGTGGCTCGTCTACGAGTCCAAGTCAAGACTGGCAAACGTTACAGGCAAATCCGCAGCACTCGAGCAGTATTGCATTCTGGTTCTCAGTCAATGAGAATGAAATACAAGAATGCAAGTTATTTTAAACCTCTCACTTGAAGCTGCCATGTCGCATTATGACCCAGAAAGAACTACTTGGAATATCAACTCTTATGTAAATAGAATGCCTTCCCTTTAAACTTTCACTGAACAGGAAAGTGCAGCAAAAGATGCCAAAGTAGAGACAATAATCACCCTGGCTGCTAATGGATTTTTTTCTGTTTTAATCCCCCCAGGCCTCAAAGAGGTGTTCCCAGCAGATGCAAATGTGTGTGTGAAACCTTCCACATTTTAAATACTTTGTATGCCTTAGGGCCTATTTGGTTTCATTCCTCCAGGATATCCACCCTATATCTGCCCATTACAACACAACGCTGCTTCTCAAATTATATCATGGTTATATCAAATTATATCCTTTGTCCTATAGACTCAAACCACTGAGAACCAGATTAAATTGGCCATCCCACCACAAAAAATATTATTCATTATGGAGCATAATATCATTTGGTACATGTGAAGAAAGAACTTCCATTTTATAGCACCTTTTCACACTGAAATATCTCAAAGCGCTTTACATTGCACTGCATTGTTAAGCGCAGTGATTGTTTTCTGTAAGCAAATGCAAGTTTGGATATAATATGCTCCCACAAACAGTTATGGGATGAATGACCATTTTATCTGGAGGATTGTTGGAGAAACTCTATTCTCTGTTCGAATAGCATTATAAGATCTTTTAACACTCGCTTGTACAGGCAAACAAGGCTTCAGGTTTATCGGCTCATCTGAAAGACCCCAACCCTGACCAGGCAGCACTCCCAGCTACTGAACTGCAGTGTCAAGCTAAATGATGAGCTAAAGTTCAGACACATGGCTTGAGCCTGCAACCTTCTGACACCAGAGGCAAGTGCATTGGCAACTCTGAGCCATGCTGACTCCTGTACAGCAAAGAGGATCAAAGCTTCAAGGAAGGAAAAAGCAATTCATCTGTGGCAGGGGGTTGGTAATCTACGGTGTATATCCACTGAGCGATCAGGGCAGCCGTTGCTGAAATTCTCACTCACTCCTGTAGAGTTGCAAATACTTGCTGAGTCTTCTGGTAGTGTATCACTTGCTTTGGGGCAGATTAGGTGAGATCAGTAGTTGTTATACTGGGATTTGAGAGGCTGGGTGAGAATGGATGGGAAAATGAAATGGAGAAATTCAGCTCTCAATGTCAAATTCAGAGCTTGACTCAAGAGTGAACTGAGGCCAGTCAGACATTGCTCTGTGCTGGCTTGAGTTAAGGAATAGATGTGTATAGGAGAGGGGAATACGAGGGCTGGGGGCTTGTGTAGAGTATAAACACCGGCACAGACTAGTTTGGCCAAATGGCCAGATTTTTTCTCTTCCTCTTCTGATTATTAGTAATTGTCTTGAAACTTTTCCAGGCTGCGTCTGAATTTAATATTTAACTCAATTCCGTTTGTTTTGGTCAGACAACCTCCAGGAAAATGTAGCAATGTATTTGTATCCGATCGGCATCTTATGTGTATATATATATATATACACACTATATATATAATAGAAATGCATTTTATGAATACTTTGATTTTCAAACAGAGAACCACTTGCTTCGATAAAACCTGGCCGGTAATTGTAAAATGTAGCTGTCAAGATTTAGTTTGATGAAATGCCATTTTGAACTGAGGATTTGAGTCCTTTTTGGCATTAGGGGAAATTAGTGCTGATCAAGGGTACCATTATACAGCAAATAGAGTTACTCACATCCATAAAAAGGCAACTCATGACAGGAATCAAATAAAACTGTGGGTCACACTGTGCAGAATGAGAAATTCACAATTCATTAGATTTTATTGTTTAGTAATTCAACGCCCAGGGGAAAGGAGACTGGAGACACTCACTATCAGAAGAAAACAGCACACCGCTAACGTGATGGTGGGCTCAAGTCCAACCTCGTTGGTCTGTATGGCTCAGGGTTAACCTAACCAACAATCTGATTATGTAGTGTCCTAGCTGTTTTAGAGGGAAACTAATGCATTGTCCATTCGTGGTGTTTATTTTCTGACAGGCTGGCATTATCCATCCCTGGTGTTCCACTCTCCTGGAAAATCCTTCCACTCCAACAGCAACCCTGGTTATCTAAGGAAGCTCACTCTCCATTGACCTTGGACACAATTTCTTTAATATATTCATTCTTTATCTTTTTTTAAGTTGGCAGAATCCTTATCTGCAGCACGAATGATCCATTTCTCATTTTATTAAATTGTGGAAGGTCACAAACAAGCTCCAATTGTGGGTGGGGGGGAAAAGCGATGACAAGCAACAGCTGTATAAGACAGAGAGGGATTTAATCAGGAAAGGAGAGGGAGAAACTCAAGAACCTTGAACCACTCCACGCCTATTCATCTCAACCGACCCAGAAATTGACACAGGTATAAAACATTAAAGGATGCTGGTTGAGTGGATCCTTGTAATCAGTCTCTTATCCGTACATCTAGTCTGATCCAATAATACTCATTATTTTGCTTCAAAACTATGGGCATGAAGTTAAAAAGATTACAGAGAGCAACATGAAGTCCGATAAGCAAAAATATGAACCAAGCATGGATCCACACACACTACCTTCCCACACAGCGGTTTCCAAGAATCAAAGGAAAAGTAGATGGATAATACTTCTTTGCACATAATACAAGATAGTCAGATCAAGAGTCTTGGACGTGTATCTCGAGTGATTTTTCCAATGGAGCCTTGGGTATTACAGTGTGCGCAGGCTGTGTGAGCAGACAAGAACTGTTATCCCACAGGGTGAGAAACAAAATGGGAAGAATACCTTTTGTACAGTTTAACATCTAGTATTTACACAACAGTAACATTCTTCTAATATCCCCAGAATTAGAAAAGTGTCCCTCTGGGGGAGAGAGGGCACATTTCCTCCCAAACACAGGAATTTCCATGAGTAAGTGGCTTGCATGCAACTCTTGGTTTGGTTTGTAAGCATGGTGATGGGTTTCTGTGAAGCACTTTGCGACATTTACTTTTGCAAGAAAGGTATTCTATAAATGCAAGTTATTATTGGTAATATTAATAAGAAAAATCCTTGCATTTGATATAGAACCTTATCAAACAACAACAAGATTACATTTGTATCGCGCCTTTCACGTTGGGAGGACATCCCAAGGCACTGGAAAGTGTGCAGCATTTCAGACCCGAGCTGGGGTTGGGGGGGGGGGGGGAAGGGAGAGGAGGGGAAGGGGGGTGGCCGATGGCATGGTCCAAGAGGAGGGTCTTGAGGCGGGACCTGAAGGAGGCTAAGGAGGGGGCGAGGCAGAGTGACTGGGGGATAGAATTCCAGAGGTTGGGGGCAGAGTGCAGAAGGCTCTTACGCCAATGGTGGGGCGGGTGGGTCGGGGGACATGGAGCAGGCCAGAGCCGGCTGAGCGGAGGGACGTCTCAAAGCGTTTCACAGAATATACTGTAAAGTGAATTGACTGTGTATTTTGTGGGCAGAATGCTGCAGCCAATTGCGCACAGCGGAGTCCCACAAACAGTCGTGAATATTATCAATATTATGGGTGTATTCCCTCATCCCCTCACCCCCTCCCCTGGAAAATATTTTCCTGGAGTTTACAGGACCGGAAAGTATTGACATATAAATTTCAAGTGACTTACATTAACCTCGTTAAGCCGACAGGGTAAGCCAGGCATTCCAGCAGTTTGTTAACAGAATGCTATGTTCATAAACAGCTGTTTCCTAATTACCTTTGATTATTTACTGCTATGCGCAGAGTAATGAGGATAATTTGGGACGTTGCTTCTTACATTTCAATGCTCTGAGCAAATATTCGATGCCGGGGGAGAGAGGGAAACAAGGGGCTTTCATTACCACGTAAACTTAGTCAATTTGTATGAAAAACAAAGAGCAGTCAGTTTCTAATTAATTGTGGCTTCATCTGGAAAACACCCAAAACTAAAATGACTTCTTTTTAAAAAAAATAAGATTTAAATTCCTCCCATTTCACCCAGGATTTTGGAATCCTTAACTATATACAAGTGGACACTGTGTGTGTTTATGAGGGTTGGGGAGAAAGGATTGAGGTCAAATTAAACCATTATTGGGGGAGAAAGGAGAAGGAATGAAGTGAAATGTCCCCATTATCAATGACGTCTCAACTATTCATCAGCGTAGACACAATGAGCCAAATGGCTTTCTTGTGTGCTCTAAATTTCTATAATTCTATATAGAATTATAAAGTGAAGCACGGATTCCACAATACAGCATGTCTGGCTGTCACAGGAAGTCTGGTTGACAAAAAGTCTCTGCACTAACAAATCCCATCAGGGCTGTTGCTTGTCAACAGCACCTCAAACATCGAATCTGCTCGACAAACGCTTTCCTTTTTTTTTCCCTCCTCTATGTTAACGTCTCCTTTCTCCAAGGATCGCTGACTAACTGATGAGTCGGTTCATGTGACAGTTGTATGTACCTGTATCATTAATCTATCCCTGCTCCTCTCTGCTACCCTAGGTGTGCCCCGCATCATGGGTCTCAACACTGCAACTAGACTCAGGGTTGGGTGGGGGGGGGGGGGAAAAAGCAAGACACCTTAAAGAAGTGGCTATTAAAAGTGAGGAATGTTGGATTCACCTGTGGCCGAGGATGGCCTCGAACAAGGCAGGTTAGTTCCAGCGTTTCTCCTTCTCGAATGGTGTACACTCTCTCTGTGTATCGCTCTTCCTCTATGTTACATGCTTGGCCAGAGTGCATGATACGTACAGTTGGCGGAGCTGCAGAAAGAACAGAGACACAGTCAAGCCCAAGGACTAAATGCTATTCTCCATTTGGAAGTAGAGGTCAGTTTAGAAATAACTCAAATACAACCTGGCTGACTGGAGCAGATATCAAGTGAGGGTAGGTGTGTGTGTGTGTGTTTATGGGGGAATGGGGGGGTAGGAAAATCTGCAACAGCCAGATAAACAGGAGCTCCCCTGTGGCGCCTTCTCTAAGGGATGAGAGGGATCTGAGAAATAAATCAATTTGTATTCAGTGCCTTATTTCATTAATGGAGTCCTGGAACTCTTAGCAAACAGACTTAATGGACATTTTTCTCAGCAGTGTGCATTCACACTTAATCAATGATGACCTGAAGGAGCCATCAGTTGGCTGAGTGGCATCTGATTACATTGAACGAGGGAAACGAAAATAGAAATGGGTCGTCAACCAGACCACTGCCACCCAGGACACCACTGTCCAACCTTTCCTCCTGTTGGACAATGTCAACATTTTGAAGCAAAATATGGCGAGAAAGGGATTTTACACAAGAGATGGCACGAGCGATGCAGTAAATAAAAAAACACAGCTATTGAAATGCTGCCAAAGGACATCAATCACGGTAAAACAATGCCCCGTCTAGAAGATTTCCACACACATCACCAGAGTGTAAAGTGGAGTAACATTTCCTGTGAAAGTGCACGTCGGAGTGGGGCTAAAAGTACAACAGTCGCTGCACAAACACTGACATGCTCTTTGAGATTGAAACTGCCCTGGTATTCGCGAAGATTCTAGAAATCAGGAAACAAAACAAAATAAAACAGGGATCACGCCTGGCTTTTCCTTCGGGAAGAAAAGGTCCCAAGAACTCCCAACAAGAGGTCGGAAAGAAACAGAACCACAAACCAACTCGCAAAAGCCTTTGGGATCGGACCTTTGGCCCAAATTTTCCCCCATTGTCTCCCAGTACATTTAATTAAATTTCAGGATGAATTTTCCCCCAATGTCATTTGCAAACTCCCCAAGATGGCTACCTGCACCCACCGCCCACCACAATAACAGCAACAACTTGCATTTATCTAGTGCCCTTCACATGGGGCAGCATCTCAAATTGCTTAAAGCTTCACACACACAGCTCCAAAGATTCCTGTTATTTGAAAGGAAAATCACCTTCTGCAAATCTAATGCTGCCGCAAAAAAATATTTTGGATCTACAAGGGTATGTTCTGCTGCCTTTTCCTGCTCAGTGTGCAGGGTAACTGTGGATTTTTTCATAACCTTCAATGAAACCAAATGGAGCATGAACCAGTGACATGCAACCTGGAGTGAAATGAGATGGTTAAAGGGGGGAGAGAGAGAGACAGAGAAGTGAGAGAGAGAGAGAGAGAGGAGAGAGAGAGAGAGAAGCGTATCACAGAAAAACACAGTGAAAAGATCTGGCACAAAAAGAAAGGCTGGTAGTTAAGGGAATGATCACTGCCAGTAAAGAGAGAGAATTTATAAGCGAAAGGGAGAAATGAATAGAGAAAATAAAAGAGCAAGAGTTCTAAAGGGAGCAAAATCAAAGAGTTTCAAAGATTGGATAGAAGCTTGCTTTTCTGGTTCTAATACCCATTTTCATATTGATTTTTTTCCGGCAAGTTTCCATTTTTGCAAAAATATTCTTTCGGCTACTTTTGCGTGTTCTTACCCACGTGTAGAAAAATAAATCTACAAGGGAAAGCCACAGGAACAATGGTGAAAATCAATTTGTGACTAGACACACATACATCAAAACTTACATCATTGATTGCAAGAGATCAGATGTGTACTGAACATTCACCTAATTAGGAATGTAGAAGCTTGTAAATTTGTTCTCAGCATAAACTTGACCCAACATTTGCAGACACACAGTTTGTGTGCTACAGAAGAAGGCTCACACCATAAATAAATAAAATCATTGATGGGATCTGGTGCTAATTGAAACACAGCACATTTGCCATTATTGCATCAAAGCAAGTGCCTCAGTAAATGCAAGTCAATCAGCTGTGTAAAATACAACAGTTAGTAAACTCACTCCCTACCCTCCAAAGTATATATTTTATTATGTCTGAAAATTAGCAGATACATTCATAATGCATTTAGGATTGACACATTACCATACTTTTATTTGGATTTAATTTGTAAATTATAGCCTTAGAAACACAGGCTTATTTTAAACTGGACAAGAATATCTATTATGCAAGAAGCTGCACATATTAATGAACTAAGTTCATTCAATTAATATCAGCCAGTACAAGATGGACTCTTCAATAATTCAGGTAGTTTTTTAACTATAAAAACAGAGCATCATAATTCATGTCAATAACTCTACTCGTAAAACACACTCAACATAAATCTTTGGCATCAAAAATGTAATTTTGCAAAAAGTCAACAGCAAACGTTTCCATATCGGGCCAGTGGTCAATAGGCATTTGACATAAGTTTGAAGTCACACAAGTGTCAGATTCGCAAATAACCAACTGTGAATTAAGCCAGCAATGTGCATAAAGAAGCCACCAACAAAAGTTCAGATATTTGACCCCTGGTGTTTTCCCCACTTCCCAAATTTCCTATTCAAATCCAGCTTGCCAGATTGAATTGCCATTATATCAAAGTTCTGAACAATGCGATGAGCATGAGAGACCCCAGATTGATGTCTATCTGGTATCTCAGCACATTTGCATTATTCTATTTAATGGTATCAGCTTATTAATAATAATAAATACTCTGAATTGCACCACACTGGATCTTGAAGTACCTTTATCAATAAACAGGAATACAGCCTCATTTTGTCTTAAGTTTGAATTTGACCAAGTTCTGAATAAAACAAACAAATGAATGAACTGTGGTCTGACGATGAGAACAGGAAATGGAAGTGAAGGTAGACATTTTGAAGCCTGTCAGCCATTTCAAGCTGTACTGACAAGAAACTGAAACAAATAAGAAACCAGTTGATTCTCTGGGTTTGAGACTTCCTCTCTCTGTATTGGAAGCAGGATCCCTGATAAGTACAAGAATCTCTGTAAATCTGGGGCCATTGGATTGTAAGTGTAACATAAATAACTTTAATTCAGATTTGTGCATCTGTTCAAATTGCATCCTAACCAACCCGGGCCCTCAAATCAAACCAGCACTACCACACTGCAGCGTATGATTAATGTGATTTCCAAAGATGATTTAAATACTGAACAAAACTTTCACTCCATAAATAGATGTAGCTAAAGGACAAAACCGGTGAGGTTTTATTACTTTGAAGTGCTGTCTTATGATCGACTCTTTAAAGGACATTTGCCTAATACCTTAAAACTCAATTATTATCAGTCGTTGTTGAAATGTCAGAATTTACTATCACCTTCTAATAAGATACATAAAACAGAGATTGCTGGCGTCTTGCCTTAAAGCACTCGCATTAGAAGTCATATGAGAAGCAAGTTAAGCTGACAAGGAGCATTGATGGTTTTCGATTATTTATTAATCAGAACTGTAACTCATTCATGCTGCACCCAGAGTGCTAGTATAATCAGAGCGCATTATCGTCCAAGGCTCCAACACACACACACACACACACACACACACACTGCTAGGACTTAAAATTAATTAGTTCTCATCTTGACCTGAAGCGGGTGGCAACCACTTTGTTGCTGGATTTTTTCATTTGAGGATACTCTGAATTATTTGGTGAAAACGATCAGATGTAAAACAGGAACGAGTGACCCCAAGGTCAGTGCAGAAGGAGGAACGGAAGAGAAGAATAAGAAGTTTGTCACATGCGGTTTATATGAAGTGAACGTATCAACTGCCAATGTACCTGGATATCGCTGCAAATATCAGAGGGGTTCCCGACAGGTAACTGAATTCAGATTTCCTGAGCTGAGGGGAGCTTGGTGCTAAAATAACAGTTAATTTTTCTTTAATGTTCATTCAAGAGCCAAGAGTGAAACAAGCTCTAACAGCATAAAAATCTTTAATATTTCAGGTCTTTTCATTTCACTGATTTAAAGGGAAAGTGTAATTACTGAAGGAGGTCATTTCCCCTTTCAACAAGAGCAACTTGCATTTATGTAGCAGCCCTAATGAACTGTAGCACTCCAGAGCGCTTTTATATATGAAATTAAATTACTCCTGCTTAGGCACCAATCATGACTGAAATCAACATTTCCTTGGCAGTACATCTGTCTCCTTGTAAGATGCAAACCTTGAAATTCCTTCCAACTTCTGTTGTGCTTCCCAGCGTGTGTTTTTTATTATGAGGCCCAGCTGTCATCTATAGACTTTACGTCTCTACCGTTTCGCCCACAAAATACACAGTCAATTCACATTACGGTGTATTCTGTGAAGCGCTTTGAGACGTCTCAACGACATGATAAGGTGCTATATCCAATGCAAGGATTATTATTATTTATTACTTATCAGGGCAAGATCATGGGGTTTAGGAGGTCATGGAGTAGATACTCACAAGTGCGGAGTGTTATATTGGCAATATTAGAAACAAGGCAAGAATATATATTTGTTCGGTGATCACAGATAAAGCTGGGAAGGGACATGGAAACAGGGCACAATGTTTACAGGGTTTTTTTTTCAAACGAGGAAATAGCTCAGGGTTGTTTAACAAGACTGGTTGTGAATTGACATATCTATGTTCCTCTTGTGATCTCAGTCCAGCTAGGTTAAGTAGAGCATTGAAGGGATGAGGGGGATGAGAGAGAAAGAGCTCAGTGGAGGTATGTATAGAGATAGTCCATTTGGGAAATGCAGGATAATAGTATTTTCAAAGCAGAGGTTTGGCATTTAAAGCACTGTATTATTTTCTGTGGGTAAAATCCAAAAATGCATTAGAATGTAACGCTGTATAAAATTACTATTTTTTTTAAAACAAGTTTTTTTCTGAATGCCTTTCAAACAAACAGGTGCAACAAATAGGTGCACAAATCAGGCATTGTGAGTAGATAATGCACAGTAAGCTTCGGCTCACAAACTTAATGTTCCACAATCTCCA